TTGGGCAATGTCCCCCTTGCTTGGTTGAGCCCTTGTGTGCAAGAATTTGGCCAATTTCATGCTTAACTTAATAGTGCACACAAGGTGTTCGATGAAATGCTTGTTTTCCATGCCATGTTGTGGCCACCAGTTGGGGCCCTTAATGATGTAGTTTGAGGGTGTATTTGCTATGGATGTGAACCTTAAGTTGCCTATTTTCTCGTGAATGTGCACCCCCGCCCAGATTATGCTTGATTTATCGAGTTGTTGACCCCCGAACTATGGATGAAACCATGGTTAGGCTGTTTACTATTCTTAAGTGTGGGGGTGTGCTTGACCTTTTCTTTGGCTCTTTTGGTTCCACTTTGGGTTGTTCTTTTGCAGGGCAATGGCGAAACCTGATCTCAAGCACCCGTTCATCCGGGATCTAAGGAGGGGCCCCACCGCAGACCGCTTCAAGGAGGTCCTGGAAACCCCGTTTGGGTCACACCATTGCTGGTCCAAACGGGAGTTTCGGCGATTGCACTGCTACGAGCAACTCTCCGCCGCCGTCGCCAACACCGCATGGCGCCGTCTTCTCATCCTCCACGACCGATTGGCAGGACGGTACAACCGTCCAATTCAGGCTGGGCGGTGTCCCCCGGTCCATGAGCTACCACGAGCTGGCCGAGGCTCTCGACCTCGAGCACGACGACTGTCGGGACTACATCACCGAGGTCAATGATCCACCGGAGGTGGACTTCGGGAGGCTGTACACCCGCCTGGCTCGGCCAGGCCAGACGCGTCCCTTCCGGGCCGGGAGGACGAAGGCATCTACCCTGCTGCTCGACAACCGCCTTCTCCACCACCTGCTGGCGAAGTCTTACACCCCTGCTGCAGACAGTGCCAGCGCCGTCACGAAGAGGGCCCTGTACTTCATCCATTCGATCCGCCAGCACAACCATCCTCTCCACCTGGGTTCAGTGGTGGCCAAGACCTTCGAGAAGACTGCTACAGGGCTGAAGAGCCTCCACTGCGGCCCCCTCATCACCCGCCTGGCCACCTTCTTTGGCCTTTCACTGCAGGGGTGCACCGAGGAGGGGGACACCCTCATCTTTGGCAGCAAGACGATCGGTAAGATGCAGCTGTTGCGGGAGAGGAACGGTGTTCTATGGGTCGATGGGTTTCCGGAACCTCCGATCCCCGCGGAGCCCGAGCCAGAGGCCCAGCCAGAGGGCCAGGAGGAGGAGGCTGCTGATGAGGTGGATCCCGAGGAGGTGGATGCTGCTGCTGCTGCTGCTGATGCTGCCCCCCGCCCCACCACCTTCGAGTATGGCGGTGGCAGCTCCGCTTTCCAGGGCCAGGATTACTTCTCTAATCAGTTCGAGCAGCTGCGGATCCAGAACCAGCTGATCCTCGACCAGCAGATGCAGTTCCATCAGTAGTACGCGGCAGACCAGGCCGAGTACCGGAACAGGATGGCTGCTTATGACGAGCGGCTGAACATGATCCAGACTCAGCAGGGAGTGACTCTCGCCCACATCGAGCGGGAGAAGCGCCGTTCACGGCGCATGCAGGAAGTTCAGCAGCACCTGCTCCAGCTGCTCCCGGGCGAGCAGCCTGTCTGGAGGAATCCCTGGGATGACTCCCCCCTTCCACATGCCCCAGCTGACAGTGATGATGGTGCTGCTGGCGCTGCTGACGATGACGCGTTCATGAACGACATCGACCTCGACGATCTTGGCGACGAGTAGGCTGTACTCGTTGCCCGTCTCAGTGTGTTTTCTTTTTCGTTTTAGACTTTTGTGTGTTTGCTCCATGTGTGCGGAGCTTGAACTTAGTGTCGTTTGTTTTTGTTTTTGGTTTTCCTTTGTGGTTTGATGTAGCCGTCTAGGCTAACACTTATCCCTAACGCACAGTGTGCTAGTGTGTTTCTGGTGTTCGATTTGTGCAGCATTGTCCACTCTCCCGTTTGTTTCTCGCTGACTGGTCCACTTCCAGTCCCCCAGCAGTGTTCCAATCCGGTAACATCGTTCCCCTTATCTTTCCCTCTACTCCATTGAGGGCAATGTCGTGCTTAAGTGTGGGGGGGGGGGGGTGCTTTGTATCGGTTGGAATATATAATTGGGTGCTTGGAGCCTAGTCCGCTGTCCGAATCTTACGATTTGAGGGCTCCAAGTACTGATGTTTGATCATATTGGCACTGTGTTTTGATGGATGAATTGTTTGGTTTTCGGATTAATGCATGACAACTTGTTTGCGACTAGGACAACCTATGATGAGGACTGCGATGTGCAGTAGAACGATGTAGGGGTTCAGTTTTTCAACTGTTTGCTTGCCAACTGTGACTTGATCTGATTACTTGTTCTTGACAGTCGTTTATGCATCTAGTTCAGGGTATCAGAATGTGAGATAGAGCATATAGGTAGCCATGTGAGATTTGAGCCTGCTCGTTTCTTTCTTGTGCGATAGATCCCTCTTCCATGATGTGTAGCATTCACGTTGTCACTAGCTAAGATGATGGGGGCATAGGATTAGCCCACGACCAAAATTGACTGTCCTGATGTGTCATATCCCCTAGTCAGCCCCTTTGAGCCGTGTGTTATCCTTTCATTTGGTCTCTAACGAAAAAATCACCCTTGTTGCATCTTTTAGAAGGTTCCACAGAGTGGTTTTTACATATTCTCTGCTGTTTCTGCTAAAGTTTATGTGAGTGTTGGAGGTAGTGCTTAAAAGTTGGGCAGATGTTTGAAATATGTGCAGAAGTGGTGGCTCTCTTAAGAAATAAAAAGAAAAATGAAAGAAAAACAAAGAAAAATTGAGAGCAAAAGAGAGCCACTACCAAAAATCTGAATAATGCCCATTAAGTAGTGTTTCTTAGCAGTCTGGCTTGGAAATGCTGATGTTTATGCCTCCTTCGCTCTTGTGCTCTTGAGATATTGAGTAATGCAGAATAGCAGAAAGAAAATACCGGTTTGTTTGACTGTGATTGTGTGTTTGGAAAATGTGGAACCTTGTGCTATGAATACTTCCACCACTTAACAGGCCTTTTCCCCATGTCCAAGACCCTAGCCAATCATTTGAACCTGTGTCTAAGACCTCCTGATTAGTTAGTGGTGACACCCCATATGTGAACTCTAGCATTTAGAGGCTGCCATCATGGTGAAGAGATGATAGGGATTGAGAGAAATAGCATGCGCATTTTTCGCATCAAATTGTCCTGACCCCACTGGTCGAGAGCGAGTGATTCATTTTCATATTCTTTATACTCTTGTACCCCGGTGAGGACCTAGATTGCTCGGTCTCTGTTCTAATGTCTTGAGTTGGATGCATGAGTTGACTGTTTTGAGTAGGTGGTTGAGTCAAGTCTAAGTTGGCTGGTGAACAGAAGGGAGACTCTTCCTTTACTCGATTTTGCTGCACTCGAATGTCCTTTGTGGTGGTTGTCCAGGTTGCTATTGAGGTTGTTCATGTGTTGAAGTTTGAAAACCAGTACGATTCACGTGTTCTGTGCCTTTATGACTTGTCCCCTATGTTGGTCGATTGAAATATGTAAGCTTACCTGGTGTCTGACTTGGTTTGCTTGGGGACAAGCAAACGGTTAAGTGTGGGGGAGTTTGATAGACCGTCATTTACACATGTTTTTACCCCCATTCTTACATCGTTTGTTGTAAGAATGGATTCTCGTGTTTTAGGCCGATTTCACGCTAGGTTGTGCTTGTTTGTGATATTTCAGGTCCTAGTACGTGAATGGAGGCTTGGGAGCGAGTCTAGGGTCGATTGGACGAAGATCAGACGCGTGGCGAGGTGTCAAGGAAGCCGCACGGGCAGACCGGAGTATCGCACGGCCGTGCAAGTAAGCAAGATGGCCGTGTGATTTCTGCCGAGGCCACGCATGGGCAACCCATGAGATTCACACGGCCGTGTAGAGGCCAACCCTGGCCGTGTGATTTCTGCCGAGGTCGAGCACGGGCAGACCGGAAATCCACACGGCCGTGCACCCTGGCCGTGTGAGAAGCCTGAGGATCGAACTAAACGACACGCTGCGTTTTGAGCCGCACGGCCAAGTGGGTGAGTCACACGGCCGTGTGGCCTGGCCGTGCGAGTCGGGAAATCCTGGTTTTAGAGCCTATTCCGAGCCAAAAAGGGGAGAATCGAGTTTTCAGAGCAAAAACAGAGCCCTAGAGAGAGAAAGTACGAAGAACACATCCTAGAAGCTATCTTAGAGCTGGATTTCATCAAATCGAGCTTGGAGATCGTCATAGGAGTGGAAATCATCATCCCGGAGCAGATTTTCCTCATCGTTATGAGTATGACTAATCCGATTACTGTTTTCTCTTCTCTCTCTATGGACTAGAACCCTTCTCTCACTTGGGTATGAAGAACCCTAGTTCCTTGTGTTAGGGATTTGATTGTAATGACTTGGGATGATATTACTGTTTGATTTTAATCGAATGATGCATGTTTATTGAATTGATTGGAGTCTGATCAGCTTTTCTCAATTTCTGCTGCAACCTGAGATAGATAGAATCTGATTAGGTTGTTAGAGCCTCTTCATTCGATAGTAGGAGATTGGCTATACGAGAGTTAGCCAGTTTACTGCTTTGTACTGGAATTCAATTCCAGTAGTGGAGTTCTGTGTTCATAGCCTCAGCTTTCTATCCCGGTGAAGACTAGTCGTCTGCCGGGTAGTTAGACTGAGAGGGCTTGGTCAGCTTAAGAGATTCCAAGCTACTGTCGGATCTTCCGCAGTCTAATCAACAGTAAATCAACCCAGGGAATTACAATTGAACCTAACTAAGGGGCTAGGGGGACTCAATCCCGAGTGACTCTTTCCTGACTTTGAAAACTGAACAATTTCCTTGCTTTCTTGCTGCTTTTGCTTTTAACAACAATCACTCGAACTAGTTTGCTAGATAATAGAGAATCACGGAGTAAGCAGTAGATCTAGACCCCGGGTTGATAATATAACTTGCCTGTTACTGCATTCCAGGACTGCGATTACACTTGGTCGCAGTTTGGTGTTGTGTTTTGGCGTGTCAATCACCCTCACCCAGACCCGTCGCCGCCGTCAACCAGACCCCTCGCCCAGACTCGCCTTCACCCAGCAGCGCTTCACCCTCCGCCGTCGCCGCCAGCATCACCCTCACCCAGACCCGTCGCCGCCGTCAACCAGACCCTCGCTCAGACTCTCCTCCACCACCAAGACTCGTCGCCGTCACCCAGATCCGTCGCCGCCTGCATGTTCGCCCAAGCCCAGATCCGCCGCACTGTCGCCGAGGAGGAAGGAGAAGCCTCCAAATCATCGCCCGCCCCTAGCCCTCTGCTTCTGCTCAGACCCGCCGAAGGTAAATCTCTCCCTCTCCCTCTCCCTCTCTTGGATATTTCTTGAGGAGAAGTTCAGTTCTTGAGTTGCGCCGACGTCGCGGGTTGAAAACCCGTCGCCAGTGGCTAGAGGCGGGTAGGGCGTCCGATTAGGGCCTGGGTAGACGCAGGCAGGGCACCCGCGCGGATCCGGCAGAGCCAGGAAGCCCACCTGCCCCGACCCTGGTCCGACCCGGTCTCTGACCCGTCCGGACCCTGGTCCGACCCGTTTTGATTTTTTTCCCAATTAAAATGAAAATGTTAATGATTATTTGAATTGAAAAAGTTGTTGATTGTTAATAATGATTATAAATAGTTAATGAATATAGGATTGTTAATTGCAATACTAGAAGAATTAATTTTATTTTCTTGATAGTTGGTAAAAATAAGCGAAAGAAAGGGTAAGAATTAGTATATGAATTGTGATGATTAATATAATTAGTATTTGACAATATAATTAGTATTGGAATTCATAAATTTTATGGTTGTAAATAATTATTATGTATAGATAAAAGATGTATGGTTGTCAATTACAATTCTGAAAATAAATAATTTTATTTTCTTGATAGCAGGCAACAATGAGCGAATGAAGGGGCAAGGAAAAATCGAGGGTTCTCGGACGCAACGTTACAGTATCTGAGCGGAAAAAACGTCAGGAGGAGTCAGATAGACTTCGTGAGGAGGAGCGTCAGGAGAAGCTTTCGCGTCGTCAAGCTGCAGTGGTTCCTCCCACTCATAGCCATGTTTCCCAGCCGATACCAGGCATCAACACATATGATGACATGGTGGAGGATGACGATAGCAGTGATGATGAGTGTGATGTGGAGGGTGATGATGAGTTGTCTTTTCATGAGTTGCTTTTCGACGGTCATCCCGGAGGTTCGAGTGATCATGTGTCTACTGGCTCGACCCATGGCAGTACTCTTGTTGGGCCGCTACGTGGCAAGGATGGGCATTTTGCTTCGTCCTCTGATGGGAGCAGGCCTTCACGGAAGAAACCGAGGGACGAGACGTGGCTGCTTACAAAAGAAGCTCCAGGAGGCCCTAGGGATATCAGTTTGATCCCTAGTTTCGGTGGTCACATAGCTCATTGCTTGTGGACATCGAGTTTGGATTCTCGGAAGATGTCTGTTTTCCAGTTCTACGCTCGACAGGGTGGAGTGGATCGATTGAGGACGTACGAGTTTGGCACCCCAGGTGCACAGGCCTTGGTTACAGCATCAGGTTTGGACCACTTGAGTAGATGCATGATGCATAATGTGGATTACCCACTTTTGGAGGCGTTCATTGAGAGGTGGCAGCCGGATACCAACACATTTCACATGCCATTTGGGGAGATGACGATCACTCTGCACGATGTTGCGTTCCTCCTCAAGATTCGAGTGGATGGTGATCTACTTGCTGCACCGGCTAAGGGTGATCCGTCGTTCGTGAGTGGGATTGTTGATCTTCTTGGTATTTCTGATAAGAATGAAATGGCAGTGCCATCGCGTGGCCTCCGTTGGTACGAGGGTGGTGGGATGTTGGTAGATGAGGCCATGGCACGTGTAAGTGCTTCGAGGGATGAGAGTGTAGAGGCACGGTGTTACTTTACTATGTTTGATCGGGTCCATGCTTTTTGTGGACAAGAGTTATGATCGTGTTCGTGGATGGTTATACTCTTACTTCAGAGATTTGGCGATGGTTGGTAAGTATGCATGGGGTGCTGGTGCGCTTGCTTGGATGTATAGGCAGCTTGGGAGATCTAGTCGAGCAGGTTCTGGGGGATTTTCTGGGTGTTTGACTTTGCTACAGGCTTGGATTTACGAGTATTTTCCATCGCTGCGCATCAACAGACGTGCACCGGAGCCCATGACAGAGGGAGGCCCATTTGCTAGGAGGTGGGAGGGTCCTATTCGTGGAGGGGATTTGCAGCAAAAATGGGATCATTATCGTCAGCTGTTGGACGGATTTACAGCGGCCCACGTGGATTGGCTTCCTTTTGGTGCTAAACCTAGTCGTGCTTTTCCTAGATCTTTGTATCGGGGTGTGATACGTGTCTATGATGTTGCTGAGACATACGATCCCTCACGTGTCCTCCGTCAGTTTGGCTACAGACAGGTGATTCCTGATCCTGTTATTCTACTATTTGATGTCAGTCGACCTGCTGTTGGGACCTATAAGGTCATCTTTGGAGCAGGGATTGATCAACTTTGGGGGACTCTCGGTCAGTTGATCAATCTGGATGCCTTCTCCACACCTTTTGATGACACCGGAGATGTTGACCCATCGTACCTTAAGTGGTACACAGAGCGCACCCACCCACACATTGTCCCCTCCAGAGATGGTGAGCAGCAGGAGTCAGCGCCATTGACGTATGAGATTGTAAGTTTGAATTCTTTTTCGTTTTGGTTTATTGATAGTGATCTCTTGCTTTTCGTTTTTGTAACACTTAAGTTTATTCCTTGGACATTGCAGCTAGCGTGTCAGATTATTGATGGCATTGATCTCTTGCTTCGTGCTCCTGATGAGGATCTTGACAGGTTGGGTGCCTATGGTGATTTGGTTCGACGGGTTCGTGACAAGTACGTTGAGTTTAGGGAACAGAGACCGTATCGCCCATTCGCCTAGTAGTTGTTCAATGTTGAACATTGTTGTTTAGATGTTGAGTTCTAGTTTGTTTGTGTTTTGGATGGTGGATATTTTATGTTTTGATGTTGGATATTTGTTAAGGTTGATGTTGGATGTTGGATATTTTATGTTTTGATGTTGGATATTTGTTAAGGTTGATGTTGGATGTTGGATATTTTATGTTTTGATGTTGGATATTTCTTAAGATTGATGTTGAATATTTCTTAAGGTACATTTGGATGTGTTATGTTTGAGTGTTTATATACTAATTAAAAATTTTAACCACTACTTATATATCTAACAAAAACACAACAAACACATCTTTTTTACCATCGGGTGGGTAGGGAATATGGCTCAACGAGCGGTCAGAAGGGTAGAAAATATGGCTCGACCTCCGGAAGGGCGGGTAGGATATATGCCCGCACCTCCAGGAAGACGGGTTCACAACATGCTTTGTCCACGGCCTGTGCTGGAAGGGTATATTCCTGCACCATCCATTAGGTGGGTGTTCAACATGCTCAACCCACGGTGTACATGGGTAGGTGAAATGTTTGGTCCGTGGTGCAGGCAGGTTTTCAACATGCCTAGTCTATTTTTTCAGCAACAATAATTGTGAACACAATTGATTAATTTCAACTAAATCCACATAAATTTGAACACAAAATCATTGATTAATTCCACCTAAAATCACATACATTTTAACACAAAATGTCAATCCTTGATAATTGCACCTAAATCCACACAAATTTGAACATAAACACACACTAGACACATCAATAACATAATCAATCTAAGGCAACAATGTTTAATCATTCTCTTCATCGTCAGTGGGTGGATAATGTCCTCCAAGGATGGCATATAATTCCTGCTCCTGTTGGTATAACTCATCCCAATGCGGAATTGTGCTCATATTCCGAAAATGAGTCCATTGTGGACTAAAATATGGCATTGGTGTCACCCCATCGACATTGTCGAGAACTAGTCGGACCGAATGAGCCCCAGTAAAGACCATTGGCAGAACATAACTGGGATGAGTGAACCCTGGCGGTGCCGTCATAGGTAAGGCGGTGTACCCATACGTGCGCTCTCACGCCCCCTGCACTCCATATACGACAATTGCCCAGTTGTACATGGTTGCGTATGCCAACAAATCCACCTCCTCAAACCAATACTCTCTGTCGCACCTCCCAGCGGTCTGGCAATTCAACCTGTGAAGTACTTGCTCCAACGTTCCATCTCTATATTGGTAAGCTTCCTTGTATATATCCCACTGATTTTGTACTTCTATGATAAGATCTTGTCTCATTTGCATGTAGTGTCCCTCGTCTCCATGAATCGCATGTGACATGGCCTGAAAACCACAATGTCCATCTGGTTCTGGGTCAAACCAACCTCTAACAAGAGGATGCATGCTAGGTGGGACCCAACGGAGGTAAGGACAAACATTTCTCTCACTATGAACTTGCATATCTTGACTTTTCCGCATGCCTGCAGCATATTGTAGAAAATAATTAATATTACGGTCACAAAACAAGAAATATTACTATGAAAACATATTCCAATGATGCTAACCTGCGGTGGGCCTCCGGTTTTGAGGTGTTCTGCTCCTCGATGTCCTCGGACTCTGATTTGTTCTGCTCGTCTGTGCCGACCTTGCCCTCTCATGCTCAAACCAGGAAGGATCTCGAGTGTTGCTCCTCCTAGGTGGCTGTCCCTTTGTAACCTCTAACTCCTTAGGCTCTTGTAGGCCTTCAACTTGTGGAAGAATATGAGGGCGTAATAATTGAGTTGCCTTTCGGATAGCAGCTGGCCCTTGCTTGTACACATCTTGTACCATGGCTGTAAAAATGTCACGCTCAATGGCATCGTGATCTTCCCATTCTGCAAGATCGGGAGGACTCTCATACACCAAAGATGACCAGAATGGATGTAAGTGGTACTCTCTCCCATAGACTTCCTACAAATAACTCAGCAGAATCACGACCAATCCCCAACTGCATCATTTTGGCTTCAATGTTCTTTTTCATGTGCCACACACATAGTAAATGAGCTGAAGATGGAAAGATCTGTTGCAAAGAGACACCCAATCCTCCCGCCTTGTCTGTGACGAACGCAACCGGGGTTCGATCACCAAGCACAATCTTCAATTGCATCAAAACCCAAGCATATGTCTCCTTCGTCTCATGTGAAATCAATGCGAACCCAATGTTGAAGTTCTTCTTCACCGGACTAACACCAATCAACTGAACCAGTGGTTGCTTATACTTGTTAGTCTTGTACGTCGAGTCTATCAAAACAACAAAATACCATGCCAACAACATCCGAATCGACTCAGGATGGCATAGAAAGAGTCTAGTAACACGACGTTGATCATCAAATTCACACTCAATAAAGTAGCCAAGACGTTGAGCTTCTATCAATGTCCACCGCATAGGTTTCAACCCACCCAATCTCTCACGCCTAATTTTTGCTGTCTCATTATAAATCTGAGTCATGTTGTGATGAGCATCGTACTTCATATTGAGCAAACTTCTGATATCTTTCGCCTGAGTATGTGTTGCCTCCAACTCCTTAATATTCATTTTTCCACCTGCGAAAGAGCATTCTTTTGCCTGCTTCCCTCAGAGTAAACCTCCAATCTGTGACTGTGAAATCCCCTCGACTTAATCCCATGAATTCTACACTTACACTTGCCATCTATTTTTACGGATTGCACCACCACTCGGAAACGACAACCTAACTTGCCTGTTGTAGATTTGCTCCGTGTTGTCTTTGCGGGATCAGACGTATATGAGTTGCTCCTACTACCATGGTTGCAATCCATATAGATCCGCGGATTGCCTTCTCCAACGTTTTTCTTGACTGATGCCACTATCAAGGAAAAACTATTACTCATGGCAATCTCCTTTGCCGCTTTACAAGCTTGATCATGGGTATCATAAACATCACTTAGAAACAATGATGTGCAATCAACATTGTCACCCTCATTAACTCCGGATCCACCCTACAAGAAATACAAGGTAAAAACATTTAGTTGTGCAACAATTATGTTACGATAATTAAATTATAAAAAATAACTACTTACCGAATCATCCATAATAGTTTCCTTGTTAGTAAATGATGGTGGCACAAGATTTTTATCCTCCTTCCTAATAAACACAATTAACAACGAAACTTAATGAACATAAATATCATAATTTAAGTGAATTTTCATTAAAAAAGGTCTATGACATCACAAAGTTATTCGAGCATGTTCAAAACTAGACCAAACCGAGGGACGGGCATGTTAAAAACAAGAAAGAACCGTGGGTCGAGCATGTTGAAAACATGCTTAGACAGGAGGACGAGCATGTTGCGAGCATTCCTGGAGGATGGAACGGGCAAGTGGACAACCCGTCCGTTCCATGGCTGATGCAGGGTTTCAACATGCTTGACCACCGGTCGAGGCAGATTTTCAACATGCTCGACTTGTTTTCCAGAAGAAAAAAAAGTGCAAACAAAATCTTACCTTTAGTCCGAAGCCCTGCATGCTATGACAATCGAGACCGACTACTTCTCTACCTCCGGCAAACTCGCCGGAATCCGGCTAAAATTTTGTCAATGTAGAAGATTGTAGTTGGATTTTGTGTTGTGTGGTTTGATATTTCTGTTTTGTGTTGGAAGAATGAGTTAAATGGGTTGGGTTAGATGGTTGGAGCATTAATTCTGGTGGTTGAACCATAAAATTAAATGAAGGGTTGTTTTGTAAATTTGTATGGTTTAGGGCGACAAAATTTAAAAATTTAGGGCGACGAATAGTAACTCTCAAAAGTAAGTAGGACCCACAATTGCAATTGCAAGTGGATGGCATTGATGTAGGTTGTATGAAAATGAAGAGTGAGTAATTGTTAAAGTTGATGATGTGGTAGTAGAGACCACACTTGTAATTGCATGTAGATGGCACCATTGGAGATGCTCTTAGCTTTATCCAAATAAAAAGGTAGAATGAAAGTTGGGGTAATTTGCACCACCACAATTCCAAGAAAAATTTAATCTTGAAAGTTTAGAAAGGCTTCCCTGACATGAATAGACGTTCGGGACCTTCAGTTGGTATCGAAGGCCATTGTCATCCCTTCTTTGTCCTCTTCTCACCATGTCTTCTTACTTACGTTGTTTGAGGAGGTTGGAGAGTCGTTTCTTGGCGACTCACCTTGTTGTAAGCTTGCCCCAACTCCATGATTAATGGGTCGTGTGGCCTTGCCTAAAATAGCTAGGGATTTCTTTTTTCTTGGTAAGGGTAGTACCGGGTTGTGATTCACAATCGAGCTCTTCCCTCCCTACTTTGTGTTAACAAGTGAGACTTTCTAGTTCTCTTTCTTATGCGTGATTGTCTTCTGACTCTTTCTTTGGAGGGGGGAGGGATTTTCTTCCATCGATCTTGTTTTGAACTTCTTGAACGATTTTCATTGGAATTCTATGCAATTGATGTCTTAGAAGATTCATTTGCTTCTATGTCCTCATCCAAGCGCACGTCTTTCGTTTCCTCCTTTTGATCAACAACTTTCTTCGACTCATCGTCAAGAAAATCAAACATGGTTTTGTAGGTTCGTGCTTCTCCTGATGTCCCCTTTTGATAAAAAAATTTAGCCTTATTCCCTAGCTTGGTATCTGGATTCTTCCACTGGTTGTTCATTCTTGCAAGTCTCGACGTAATCATCCAAGGTCCATAATCCTCCAAGATCTATAGTATTATTTCTAGGGGAAATAGTCACAGGATTGGTCTCTGGAGAACTCTCTTCTTTTGATAACCCATTTGGTGCATTGATCATGTATGTTCTCTTAGGGAACTTCTCTTGGAAATGACCACACTATCCTCACTCAAAGAAAATCTCGTTCAATGCTTCATACTCCGCACATCACTTTATTCTATACTTAAGACACCATTCCCTTGTGAAGGTTAACTTCAACATATTTTCGTGTATAGTTACCTCTAAAGCCATTTTTCGTGTTGTAGTCGATCTTCACAACCCTTCCCAGCTAATCACCAATATCATTGAAAATTTTCTCATCAAAGTATGCCAACGTAAGGTGAGGTAGTCTGACCAAACTATGGTGTGATTGATATTATCAAACATATTTTGGGTTGAAATTGAGTCTTCATGGCTTCGAAATGATGTAGTGCTTGTTAGTGATCCAAGGACTACCATAGAGAGTTCATTTGTGGTGCATATGGCAGTCAAAGATCGCTTGGTAAAAGCCATTGTTGATATCTTCGATCTTCACCGTACGTGTCTTAGCCCATCTGTTATGAACACGTCAATTGACAAAAGAAAAAAGAGAAATGTTTCCCTAACACCTTGAGGTGATAACTCTTCCCCATTTGTGTCGGATTCAATCGTTGGTTCTTTTCTGGATTCTGATCGTAGGATAGTTCGAGTCTTCTTTAGCACCCTCAACATCCGATTCATATGATATGACATCAAATCATTGCCATTAGGGATCTCTAGAGGGGAAATTCCTCGGAACGGAGTCATTTTACGAAGGTCAACTCAAATCGGCCTTTGAGCTCTTGGGCGGTGTCGAATCTGAGTCCTTTTCTCCCAGGCCAATTCTCTTTCATCATCGTGTCTTCTTCATGTGGTGTCATACTTCGCACTGTCACCATGGCGATTTCCATTTCTCCTTGGCCAGCAAAGCACTTGCCAGAAAGGAATCTTAGACTTCTTACTTGGCTGGGCCGATGATGTCGTCGACGAATCGTCCAGTTCTTCGGGTTACAACGAATCTCCTACATTTATGATAATTCGTCTTCCATTGTAATTTGTAACGTTAGGAATGAGAGGGCAAATAACCTTCTCTCTCTAACTTTACCTTCTCTCGCTGTGTTACTAACTTCATTTTTTTTTTTGCCATAGATATCCGTGTTACTAACTTCATTTCTCATCCAACAAATTCAATGAAATTTTGGCGCATTTAAACTTGGGCCGGTCTGGAGTAGGCCCTTTAATTCTCTAATTTTAACCAGGATAGCGGCAACGACAACGACAACGACAACGACAACGTGGCTTGAGCCCAGTTCCAAACAGAGCAATAGTATAAACCCGAGCTGGGAACTCGTGTGTGGAAGATGCCGAGTTCCGGTCCAGGCTTCCTATTTTACAAAATTTATCCGAATTGGAAATTGGTGGAAACGTTAACCAGAACGACGAGTTGTGGCTAATTCGTAAAAACTGTGATCGGATTGCGTAGAACTGGTGCAATTTCTGGTCCCTGGACCTTGGTGGCTTTGGGTTTAGTGTATAAAATGGAAAGGGCTAGCTCCCTAGCCTCACTCCCGCCCTCTCTTTCGCCTCCTAAAACCAAAATGCTGCAGAGGCAAGCGGCGGCAGCGAATTTCAGCTCCTTCAAACCCTGCTTCTTCCCTGCGCACACTACTAAATCCTTGTTCTTCCCCATGGACAAGCGCTCTCTTCACTCCTCTTCATCTTCTCTCTCGTCTCTGCAGAAGCTGTCTCAACCTCGTCAAAATCAAGCCGTGGTGTGTCGAGCTTCCCAGGACAGTAGCGCTTCGACTAGGTATGTGTTCCTTCTTCTAGGGTGAACTTTATCTCTGGCATATAGAGACTGCCGCCGTACAGATTACGATTGAAACGCAAGATGCTTACTTTAGTTTTATGTCGCAATGTGGTTTCAGGAGCGATGAATTGGTCGTTCATGGGGTTTCGGAGACCGTCGTGGGTGTTTTAGGTGGGGGTCAATTGGGCCAGATGCTGTGCCAATCGGCTTCGGAGATGGCCATCAAAGTTATAGTACTGGACCCTCTCGTGGGCTGCCCAGCCAGCTCCATTGCGCATGATCATATGGTTGGCAGCTTCGATGACAGTGCTACTGTTGTGGAATTTGCGAAGAGGTTCAATCTTGATCTAATTTTTGTGCCACCTTGTGTTTTTGAATCAGCCATGTTGTTACTTTGGTGACTTTGATTAAGTTCTTCCTGAGTTGTGCATTTAAATGCTAATTTCACTTTTGGTAGTTAGGTGTGGAGTATTGACTGTTGAAATTGAGCATGTTGATGTTTCTACAATGGAGAGGCTTGAACAGCAAGGAGTTGATTGCCAACCAAAAGCCTCTACTATTCGAATCATACAAGTATGTCTCTTGTCTCCTCTCTCTTATCTTGGAATTAAATGGCAATGGCTGTCTTCAATTCGCTTACTAGTCGTTTAGTTGTCGCCCTGAACTTTCCATGATCTTCTCTTCTTCAACTGTGCATATTCTGGGTCCAACAACATAATGTTACCACCAAAATGATGAGATGTTCTGTCTAAAAGTATGGTTGTTTGTGTCTGAAACGTTGTGCATGTTCTATCAAACAGGACAAGTACCTGCAGAAGGTTCATTTTTCGCGACATGGGATTCCACTGCCTGATTTTATGCAGGTTCGTTTGGCGCTCTTAAGGTTGCTTTCTTGTCATAGCAACTTCTCTGATTTCAGAGCAGCTGTTATCTCCCTCAAAACAAATGTTATCGAATTTAAATGCTATAAACTGGCAGATAGATGACCTAGAAGGTGCGAAGAGAGCAGGTGATCTATTTGGCTACCCTCTGATGATTAAAAGCAGAAGGTTAGCCTATGATGGACGTGGAAATGCAGTTGCTAAGAGTGAAGAGGAGCTTTCTTCTGCTGTGACATGTAAGCTAGGTTCATAACTAAATATAGAATCATCACTTTGTTCCTAAACTGTAACTGGAATTTCTTGTTTACAATGGGTCTTAAGTTCTTCCTGGAAAATGCCATTGCTGGAATACATGAAAAGCAAGCGGAGTTACTGCAGACACCGGAAGCATGTTAAACAAAGTTTTTCTAAGCCTCTGCTCTAATAATTCCTGTTTTTTATTTCTCGCTTCAGCACTTGGAGGGTTCGGTCGTGGTTTGTATGTCGAGAAATGGGCACCTTTTGTGAAAGAGTTAGCTGTAATTGTTGTAAGAGGCAGAGACAATGCTATTGTGTGCTATCCTGTCGTTGAAACTATTCACAAGTAAGCTCTTGATCAAGCTTGTTTATCTCCATCTTGGGTTGATTTATAGTTTCATTTGATTTTGGCAGCTAAAAGTTCTTACATTGCAAATTTCACCTCACTAGAAAACTCTTTAATGCGAACTCCTTTTGGTCTTAATGGATTCAGGGAAAGCATATGTCACATAGTCAAGGCCCCAGCTGTGGTGCCATGGAAAATAAGGCAGCTGGCCAGTGATGTTGCACATAAAGCTGTCAGTTCACTAGAAGGTGCTGGTGTTTTTGCAGTCGAGCTGTTTTTGACAAGTGATGGTCAGGTTTGTACTTAAGTTCCTTTTATAGATCGAATCCGCCCACCTTATGGTTTCTTGTTCCTGTTAAAACTTATCCTTGGCCTCTCTTCTCCTGAGATAGATTCTGCTGAATGAAGTAGCTCCAAGACCTCATAACAGTGGTCATCACACAATCGAGTCTTGCTATACCTCACAGTATGAACAACATTTAAGGGCTGTTCTTGGACTTCCTCTTGGTGATCCATCAATGAAGACTCCAGCTGCAATGATGTACAATCTACTTGGTGAAGATGAGGTAATATGGTGATCCATCTTGCCTGTACTAAATTTCAGAGTCAAAAGTTCCTTTGTTGTTTTTATGTAGTTCATGTAGAAAACATCATATCAAGAATGAAAGTAAATGGTTGAACATATGTTTTTTAGGGTGATCAAGGTTTTCACTTGGCCCACCAGATGATTGCAAAGGCATTGACTATACCAGGAGCTAATGTGCATTGGTATGACAAGCCAGGTTAGTGGTGCGCTGCACATCAAACTTCTACATTCTACAAACTCCCTATATCTTTACCTCCCCAACCCTTCATCCGTTAAACAGAAATGAGGAAGCAGCGCAAAATGGGTCATGTCACTATAGTTGGCCCTTCTATGGGCGTAGTTGAAGCACGGATGAATTCAATGCTTGTGGGACGAGGTTATGATGGTCAACCTGCCAGTAAGTTTATAAAGGCAAAACTTGAGTCTCTTAGACCAACAATTATGGTTCCTTCTGGTTATTGAAGTCTGACATCGACTCTTGCTGTCTGGGATGATGCAGGTGTTCCTCCACGCATTGGGATCATTATGGGTTCTGATTCAGATCTTCCTGTCATGAAGGATGCTTCCAAAATTCTTACTATGTTCGGTGTCCCACACGAGGTTAAATCTTCGACAAATTACAGTTTGCTTTTGTAATGTTTCAAACTTTGTTCTGTAGTACCATCTGCACCATCTATTTTTCAGCCATGTACCCACGTAAAAATGTTGCCTGCAGGTCAGAATAGTGTCAGCACATCGAACTCCGGAGCTGATGTGCTCATATGCCGCGTCAGCACGAGACCGAGGACTTCAACTGATCATTGCTGGTGCTGGTGGTGCAGCCCACTTGCCAGGCTAGTTTACTACATGCAACTGGACTTCTTTTTTCCGTCTTCATTGCAACAGCATTAGGCCCCTGCCTAGCTTTCTTTTATGTTAATCAATGGAATGGTTTCAATCTACAGGAATGGTGGCTTCACTTACTCCACTACCCGTTATTGGCGTCCCAGTGCGTTCTTCTTCTCTAGACGGAATGGATTCTCTCTTATCAATTGTGCAGGTAAATCATATCTATTTTGGTATCCTCAATCTGGCTTTCTATGAAGGCCTCACTACTGAGTACTGACATATCATTTAATCATCATTGCTGCAGATGCCAAGAGGTGTACCTGTTGCAACTGTCGCAATAAACAACGCTACAAATGCAGGGTTGCTCGCAGTTAGGATTTTGGGGGCTGGCGATCCGGATCTCTTGGCCAGGTGATTTATTCCTCTCCAATGTCTTAGTTAAGGATTATCATATGTCAGTTTGGGAGGCGTTGGCGGTATGATGATGAATGTTTCTCATCTGGGTTTTGCAGGATGAGTCAGTATCAAGAAGACACGAGGGAGGAGGTGTTGAGGAAAGCTGAAAAGCTGCAGAGTCAGGGGTGGGAATCCTACTTGAATCCTTGAGAGTGATAGACAGACAAAGTTTCCCCTAGGAACTACGACCCTGTCTCATTCTTTCTTGCTTGGACACCACGTGTCATCATCTCCAAAAGACATGGTGGAAAGGTGAAAGAAGCAAGTCTGGTCTTGTTTACGTTGAGAAAGTCATGTCTAGTTAGTTGTAACTGAAAGCAATCAAGTTGAGGGAAATAGAGAGAGCTAGGTATTGAGGAGGGGATTGATGGCGCCTTTGGAGGGATGCTGATGGCTGGACTTCAACGTTTGAAGCCAGCAAAGTTAACGGCGTCTTTTTTTCATTTAGATTCTAAATATGGGGACTGCAGCAATGGACCGCGGCTGGCCGCGGTAGAGGGTTTTTATTATTTTGGCTCTTCTCACTTGAATTAGTGTCTTAATATTGACCAAAATGGATCATGTTGAGAACCGAATTTGTATTGGACTTGTTCGTCGGGATAACTGTCCGCCTCCGAAAGCCTCTACATCTACGCAAAATGTAACTCAATTTTGTCCTTTTAGTTTAGGTTGAAATAGGGGTTTATCGTGGACTTAGCCAGTTTGATGGATCGACCAAGGGAGGGGCAGTGGTTTGATCGTGGACTTAGCCAGTGGCTTGATTCAGTAACTTGTCGTGCAGTTAGAGCAATTCATCTTCCTCATGACGTGAGAAGGTGGAGGATAGGATGATTTGGCACGACATAAATGATGGGGTTTCACGGTTAAGTCCGCATATCATAACAGGGTGGCTGGTGGCAATCTATAGCCAGTTGGATCTGCTTCTAGGAGGCCCAAATACCACCTAAATTGAAAGTGTTTTTGTTGCAAATATTCCACCGGATCTTTACAATGATGGAAGCACTTATCAAAAAGAAAGTTCAGGTGCTCCCTTGGTGCACGGTTTGCTGGGCTGAAACAGAAACAAATGTAATATTTGTTTATTGATTGCCCGATGGCAAGGGCTCTATGAGATCATTCGGGACTCGAATATCTTGGCCAAGGTTTGTCTCGACACACTTTTTCACTCTTCCTTAAAAAGTTGATGTTGTTAGTGCATCAACCCCAATTGTTTATCGCGGTGGTGGCGGTCATTTGGAGGATCTGGCAATCACAAAATTGGGTTGTATTTGAGGACAAACAATTTGGGATCCATGCTCTAATGCGCCAATTCCACCAGCAATATCAAAAGTGGATCAGTTTGCCTTTGAACCTAAATCAACCAGTATCCATCCCACACTCTTGGCCAAGGAATGCCCGACACCCTAATTCCATTGTCTGTTTGTAGGATGGAGCTCTAAGAGTAAGTCCCAATCGGCAGTGGGAATGATTATTTTGAACCAGGAAGGGAGGATTCTAGTGGCTAAAGGAGTGCAGTTTCCAAATATTGATGATCCTTTGGTTGTCGAACTGCTCGCTCTTCAAGAGGCTGTTCTTTGGTATCTTGCGGAAAGGTTTGCGAAGACGAGTTTCGAAGGAGAAGCTAGAGTGATCATTGATAAAATCAATCGAGCTAATACTAGGGATAATCGATCGGGGGCCATCCTCGAGGAGGTCCTCTGCTATTTTGCGCTGCATTTTGTGCTTAATGTGCGATTTGTAGGTCGGAGTAGTAATAGGGTGACTCATTTGGTGGTTAGAAAGACATTTTCTTTGTACCCGACGTTTCTTTGATTTCCGGGTCCGGCTGAATTCCAGGATTTAATGATCTTTTGGTCAATCAATATATACGATTATCTTTTTTTTTTAAATAGGGGTTTATCGTAGTTCACTAACCATTGTCATTTCTTTTTTTTTTACAAATCCATTGTCATTTCATTGTTACCTAATTAAGCGTATATTACTTTATAACAAAAACACAATCTAAAATTTCAAACAAAATTTTTCCAAATTTGTATATTTGATAAATAAATCAAATTACAATACACAAATTGATTAAATGCATCCACTACCGCACCGATCTCAGTCCAGAGATCAGATGTGAAGTTTGATTGAGCAAATAAAAGAAACATAAACCCACGTCCAGTCCTTGGGTTATTAAATACGAACCGAAACTGAACGTTTCAAACCGTGTTCCGTACGAACAAAACAGAGCATTTGACTCTGATATCATCACAGAGTCAGAGAGTGCCAATAAATATATGTAGTGGAAAGGGATAGAAATGGCATAAGTTAAGCTGAACAGGCCAAATATTATTCACCACTTAACAACAAAAAATTTCGTCTTTTAGATTAAATATAATGGTTGAAATTGAGTTGCCTACTTTAGTCCTTTAATTTTTTAATCTATTTCTATATTACATAACAATTTCAAATTTATTGGTTAGCCGTTACAAAACCGTTCATGATATATAACATACAAGACTTGTATACTACACTAATATAAGAATGAATTTTCATTGATTATAAACAATTTCAAATTCATATCATCACCAAAATATCTAACAAATTATTCAAACCGTCTCATAAAATAAATCATAATTTTTTTAATTCAAGTTAAAAATTGCAGTGCCAGTCGGTAGTGGACCACGTAAAGTCGACAACGAGGTTGAAAAATATGAAGAAGAATAAGAAATAAATTTAATAATTTTGATTTGATGGTCTTAGTTTACGTAAAGTATTTTTTTTTTTAAATTATGGTTAAAATAGTGAATTGATGGACCAGTTAAATCATGGTGGTTCATCTGGTTTTATGTTGAACCGTGAACAATCACTTGGTCCATCAATAACAGTTCAAACATGGATCAGACCACTATCGTAATTGGTTTGATGGTTCTACTAACCTAACCGTTGATCCGGTTCGGTTTTTATAACAACGCAAATAATTGGCATGGTCTTGGAAACCAATCGGGCGTAAAGAGTGGTGCACCTGGGTTTTCCTTGTGGAGTTTTCGTTTCTCCTCCATTCTTTGCCACAACAATTCGAACACCTTTGCGGACCCGAAACGCCGATCCGCGTTTTCCGAGACTGTCCTTTTGTGTGAGCTACGTGGGCGGCATTCCTCAATGACAAACCTGATGTGAGTGTCTTTGGACCGGATCTACAAGAGCTGCATTACATCACGGGACAAAGCAGGGCCGTTGACAGCATCCTGTTTGTCACCATTTGTTGCCTGTTGTGGAAGAACCAGAATAACTACTTCTCCAATATGAGTTGAAGTCCTATGCACACTTTCAAGGTAATGCTGGCTAGTTAAGGCGCCAGATCCTAAATGCCTCAATATAGACATATCAGTTATACACTCTCCTTCCAGCTCACCGGCAGGCGGATTCGTATGGGGAGACAACAACCGTTTCAATTCAGCTTTTACTGTGAACCTTGGGGGGAGGGTGGTTCAAACACCAGTGCAGAGTTAGCAGTGATTGTGCATGAACTTAGACTCATCTGCCAGGCAGGAGTTAGGAAGGTTATCATGTAGACAGATTTGGCTACGACTAAGTCTCTCATAGAGACGACCACACCACACCATTTTCATTTCACGAGCTTCACAAAGATTCTCAGATGGCTCGCACGGGATTGGTAGGTTCGCATCATCCATGCGTATAGGGAAGCGAATGTTGTCGCTGACTATATATTTGGCTAGTCAATATTGCTCTTTGTCCGTTGGCTGTCACCATATCACATAACCAGATAGTGTTTTGCTCTATTCGTTGTATCGCTACTCTATTGAGATTCAGTCAACCCGTCTCGTCTATGAATAAAGGCAGGGGTGCCCTTTAAGCGCTCTATCTTATAAAAAACAAAAACAAGAAATGTTGTCCTTTATCATGAGTTTCTAGGGTTTTTATTTTTATTTTGGAACTTGTTGCATTTTTAATTTCTTTGTGTCTTATATATAATAAACCTATATAATTTTTATGCATAAAGTTTATAGATCGGTTTACTTACAGAAAATAAACAAAAAAGTAACCTTTTTAAGAAAATAAGGCTAAATTACACATTTGGTCACTCAAATTACATAAATCTTTCACGTTTGCCACTCGAATTACTTTTCTTTCTGATTCGCCACTAACTTTACGAATCGTTTCACCGTTAGTCACCAGCCGTTAGTCTCCGTTAACTCCGTTAGTTTTCTGATGACGTGGCAAACCAAACTGCTGACTGGACCGTTAACTTAATGACATGTCAATTTTAAAAAATTAAAAAAACAATTAGACAAAAATCAGGCAAAGGAATAGGCCCACCATATAAAAGCAACCAATAAAATAAAACTATAAATATTAAAAAATAATAAAACAAAAAGACCTTGGATTCCATCACTTCCTGACTCTCGCCCGGCCCGGACGCCGTGACTAGCACGAACGACTGTCTTCCACGGCATCGGCTTCTTCAAGGGTTGTCTTCTCAAACTCTTCACGAATCTGCCCAAGTTGGGATTAAATTTTGAATCACAAATTAATATTAGTGCAGAAGAATAATCCACAAGGAAGAAGTCGGAATCCCCAAATGAGTGGCCCTCGAGACCTTCTCGAAGCTTCCTGACCGGATTGCCATCCTCTGGTCCATCGACTCCACGAGCAGATTCGGAATCCCCAGACTAGTCTTCCATGTCACCGACTTCTTCTCAATCTCCGCCAGCGAGACGACCCGGATTTCACGAGCCTCACAGAAGGGTCTCCTCGAAACCCGAAGAAATTTCGTTGGCCTGGAAGCAGCTGTCGGAGTAAGCGAGGAAGGATGGGGGAAGTGGGATTCGGGAATTGGTGAAATCGGTCAGGGAGTCGAAACTAAAAAGTTATCGCCAACAGAGACGATTACTACAGAGCCTTTATCGGGAGATGAGCTTGGCACATTGGTCCCCTATCTCTCTGCAACAACAACAACGAAAAGGAATCAGAAAGGGAGCATGTCGACGTTCGTGTGGGAGGTGGGCACTGGGGAGGGCCGAGAGCGACTAGGAAGTATGGCTACCGGAAGGATTCGATGGGCGCCGCTCGTTGCCGTCTCCGGGTCCGGTTGCCGTCTCCCCGACCCAGATCCGGTTTCCGCCTCCGGCGGCGTAACTTCGACGTGACAGGAGCCCGATTCGTTGTCCCCTTGGTACCCCACTAGCGAACAAGCGCTGACGATGGAATTAGTCATTCCGAGGGTGTTGTTATTGGTTTCGATTTCACGAGAGCTTCTCTCGCTGCCAGATTCGAGAACCAGAACGATCGGAGAACAGGGGAGGGGGTTGTTGCTTCCGTTCCCCTTGCCGTGATTCGCGGCGGAGAGGCCGACGACGAGGGAGGTGGAACAACTGCTGCAATTGGCCCTGAACAAAATAAGTGCAATGATGAGGTGGAAAGAAAAATTTATTTTTTAAATATTTTTTAATTTCCACGTCATCTAGTTAACGGTCAAACTTTATAGTTGACTGCCACGTAGGACAAACTTAACGGAGTGTAACGGCCGGTGACCAACCGTGAAACGATTCGTAAAGTTAGTGGCGAATAAGAAAGAAAAATAATTCGAGTGGCAAACATGAAAGATTTGTATAATTTGAGTGACCAAACGTGTAATTTAGCCAAGAAAATAAACTCAAAAGTTAAATTTTTTTTTGGTAAAGGTTATTTTTTTAATGATCAAACAAAAGGAAAGACTTCATAAATAAAATAAAAGATAATAGAATGAGTAATTGACTTCAATTAGTCTAAAGATAATTCAAAATTTTATTGGGAGAAAATATCATTTAAAAAGTAAAAGGCAAAATACATTTCGATAGCCACAACTTGCACGTTTTGACAGATATAGTCACAACTTTCGAAATACACAAAATAGCTAGGATTTTGATAGTTGTTTGACAAATCTAACCATTTTCGTTACAAACTTTGACGACACGTCAGCGACAACTAAGCCTCTCTTGCCACATCATAATTTACTTCAAAAATATTTTAGGCAAAATACACTTTTATAGCCACAACTTCTGAAATACAAGAAATTAAATAGCCAGAATTTTGATGGTTTTTTTGTCAAATCTAGCCATTTCCGTTACAAACTTTCAAACTTCACGAAACAGTCGCGACCCTGTCCTCGATTTTTTCTCAGGGCTCTATATAAGAAGGAATGCAACGAATCAGACCAATTGACAACGACGAACCGAGCTTCACCGAAAACAAGAACGACCGTGCCCACAACAGTTACGAGGAATTAGAGGGGTAAATGCACTATGAGCCGCCACATCCTTCCTTCCCGATGCATCATTCTCGATCGCCACCGGAGACACTATCTCCTCTTTCACAACCACCGTCAATACCATGTTCTTCATGGCCGTCATCAGCTTCTTCCCATTAGCCTTCTTGTCCTCTTTCTCATCATTTTTCTGTGATCCCGCCAAGCGTTTAAGGCCTTCTTCTTCAATCTAGAGATTGGGGATATGAATCGGCAATTCGGGAAATAATGTCTCCTTCTCCAATCATAATATTAAGTGCACCGGTAAAGGGATGTACAGAAGTAGTTATTTTGTGTATTTCAAAAGTTGTAACTATAACTGTCACAAATTTGAAATTTGTGGCTATGGAAGTGTATTTTTCTTTTTCTTTTTCTTTTGTTATCCACGTGGATTGCCAACTCAGCACCGTCAGTCTAATCATACTATTAAGTGATACCGTTAAAGGGATGGACAGAAGTGGCTATTTTGTTATTTCGAAAGTTATAGCTATAACTGTCACAAACGTGAAAGTTGTGGCAATGGAAGTATATTTTGCCAAAGTAAAAACGGAAGAAATACAAATAGATACCGATGCAAATCAAGATAAAACACCTCTAGAACGGGATAGGATAGAGTGGCACAGAGCAAAAGTTGTGCACATGCCCGACCTATTGTACTATGGATGGATAATACCTGATTCATTGCGGATCGTGTAGAGTAATACCCAATGAAACATGTTCGAATTGCATGCCAAAAATTCTAATCAAAATATAGCATCTTACCAATCTCTATGAGGTAGATTTTGGGTAGGGTGTGAGTGTTCGAGTTGTTGAAGTAACTGAAGCACAATAACGAAGTAACTTGAGTGCCATTTGCGAGACACGTTTGAAACTGCGGTAGACCCTAATCAACTTAGCTCAACTCAAGTTATAGTTTCACCTACAAAATTAATCTTAAAAGTCGTAATGAAATGACTGTCTATCCTGTCCACTGCCCACGTGGTTTATAAATAAGTCGAATGTTAGATTATATGTATCAATGTAAACACAACTCATCTAGGGCCTTGGCACTAGATATCCACTGACTAGGTTTGATCTAACCGTTTTTAAGGCCGGTCGGGTCAGTTTGTCTTCAGGTCAACTTAGAATCGGGTAGAGCCGGGTAAACTTAGGGGCAGGTCACTTTTTGGCCATATGATCCATAACAACCGGTGATATGAAAATCCTCATACAAACATATTGAACATGTTTGTAAAGTTTAAAAGTTTAGGTACTATAATGCAAGATAAAAAATAAATGTACTAAAATGTAATTTACAACAAAGAATTTTGAACTTATTTGTACAAAAAAAAAATTACGTACTAACTATAACGAATCATAAATTTGGGAACCAAAATACGATTTTTAAAAAAATAGTGCATTAATTTGAGTCGACCTACAAACGCGACCTGATCTTTGAGGGTTAGGCAAAGTCAAGAAAGGAACAAAAGTGCGACCTACAAGAATGGATCATAGAGACTTCTTAGTGACGGATCAGGCCCATTTTCAACCATACTTTTAAGCCCAGTAGATCTACCAGTAAATCCAACTTTGTTTCTCATGCTAGAATATTGTGAGCTTATTGGACGAAGTTAAGAATGAAAAGGAAAGAAATAGACGAGGCTATGTGTACCAATATGAAACAACCACAGTACCCAAAGACCGGTAGTCTAAAGCACGAGGGAGGGAACAAGAAGTAAGGCCAATTTCCGGCTTCCTCGTATATTCAATTTCCAAATAAAGACTCTTTCAAATCAGACCCTCTCTCCCATTCAACACCGCGGCCTTTGACGACGCCAGCATCACTAAAAAAGGTCTCTATATATCCTCACACAGCGCCTTTAAATTTATTACCAGCATCACTCAAAAAAAGTCTCCTAAACTCTCACAGACCACAAACTCTCTCTACATTTTGTTTCAGATGGGTTCGGCGAGATTAACGTCGGTGTTGCTACTGGTTGCTATTGTTCTGGGGTTAAGTTGTAGACATATAGCGACGGCCAGGCCACTTTTGGAGACAGAGCAGCAACAACAACGGGCGCTGATTATACAGTCGCTGCAAAGGGGACCGGTGCCACCGTCTAAATCGTCGCCGTGCGGTCATGTTCCCGGCCGTGGGAGTGGTCGGTGCCCGTTGAATGAGATGAACGTCGCCGGGTCCGGCCTCTTTGGGGTTCGGCCGCATCCAGCACCGGCCGGTGATGTTGTCGTCGCCATGGAGGTCGCCCCCGTCGCTAAAGCCAACTAGTTACTAGCTCATTAATATACTTTTTTTTTTCAGCTAGACATACCTCAGCGTGTAGCATTAATTTCTTGATTTTTGTTCTTTTTTTTTTGTTTTGTTCCGAAGGAACCATGTGGATTGGTCGCGAAAGATATGCAAAGAATATATAATTGTTACATTCTGTACTTATTTTTGTTTTATTTGTTTCTACTAAACAATATACAAGTTGATCACTATTACTTGTTATACTTATACAAAGGAGATCTGGTCATCAATCTTCGTGGAACATGAACTAAGCTTAGATTCGTATTTAATATAACTATGAAATATAAATGGATTATCTATATATTGTACCTAACCTTTATGTGTTATTTATTTATACACTTTTATCTAAAAGTGTTATTTTTATAATTCAATCCGCTACAACTAATCTCAACGACAAACGATATTCTTAGTGACCAAGAAATACACGAATATGCAAAAGTCTCAACTATTATTATATTAGATCCATGATAGAAATTGGATTTTGCAGTTCATTATGGTCTAATTGTCATATATGTATGGACTCGCGCCAACATTCAACTTGGCATGACAATTGATGCGATAAGTAATAAAGTAAGAAAAGTAATATTGCGTTTTAAAGGATCTGTACAGCTCAAGAATCCCATTATTAATAGTTATTTGAAAAGACTATATAGCAAATCAAAAGTTTATGAAATGTTAAAATACAGAACGATCAATGTTGAGAAAAGTAAAAAACTAGTGAATAAATTAATCTACTTTGGATACAGTCGCTGATAAGTTTCAGCATCGTCTCGAGGGATGGAAGATGCGTTTTCTCTCTTTTGGTGCTCGCCTTGATATGAACAGCTTTATTCTACTAGTCAGCCTGTCTACTACTTCTCTCTTCTTAAATCGCCAAAAACTGTGGTGAACAAGATTGAGAAGATCCAGCGAAAATTTGTTTGGAGTGGAACTGGTTACTCGCAAAAAAATGTCTCTTGTCAGTTGGGATTTGTGTAAAGCCTGGAAGGAGTATAGAGGATCTGGATCAATGTTATCTAAGTGGTTGTGGAGATTTGGAGTTGAAAGAAATAGTTGGTGGAGGAATAGTAAAATGATTATGTTATTTCTTATAGATACAGCTCAACATCAAGGACAAGTTTTATACCTTTTACAAAATATCCCAACTAGTCCCTATATTTCTGAAGGGGATGAGTGTGGCGATGCCTCGCAACAAGGGGGTGATGAGAACAATATCGCGATGGAAGGAGGCCGGTTGTGGGAAAGGAAGAGATGAGGCATAAATCGTGAGGAAGAAGGTTGGCTGTAGGAGAAGAAGAGATGCAGACCAGAACAAAAGCGAGGGGTTTTATGGTTGTTGGGTTAGGAAATTAGGGTTTACTTGATGTTGGGTCATATTCGAGGAAGGGACTTGACCCAGTTCGTGGCAAAACCTTACCAGACCTGATCTAATTTTGGTTTAATTCATATGAACCTTGAAATCGTATAAATCGTAGATGTACTTTTATGAGCTCTGACCAATCTCAATGGTCAATTATTATTTTCTATTAAATTGAATTTTTTGTTTGGGTTTACAAAATTGGTGTATGGGGTTTATCCATTAGAGGTTAGGGTATAGTATCATACTTAAAACTCGATTTAAATCATGGTCTAGATAGCGATATTTTACTAGCACTGTGTTTGGCAACTAAGGGGGTGCAAATTTGAGTGGGGTGCAAGTTGTGGGGTAAATTGCAAGAGGGTGCAAATTAATGAGGGGTGTAAGTGGAGTGGTAAATTGTTGTTTGGATGAAAAAGTAAGGGGATGCAAATAGACTGAGAAGTAAGTAAATTATATTATTATAAATAAATATATTAATAAAATAGGAATTATTATATGATAATAAATATTAATTAATGGGTCAGACTGGTGTGCTCCAGGCGTATACTATACTCCAGCCTCCCCACACCGTTGATCTAATCTGACGGTCATTATAAATATTAATTAAATGAGTTATTAATTTATAATTAAAGTTTCTATTTAGGCCCCTTAAATTTATATACGTTCCGCTTACTCCTCAAAAAAAATTTGCCACTACTTTGAATATTTAAGTACCCTAAGTCAACTATTTATACATTTAAATACCCTAATATTCTAATATTCTAAAACTTTAAAACTACTAAAACGCATTTACCCCAAACCAGAAGCCATTTATTCCCCAAGAAGAACCCTTCCGACACGCCATTGGTACAGAGAAACTTCACAGGAAGAAAGACCTCTCTGGTTTCCGATGGTATCCCAAATTCCACCTTCCTCTAACAATCAAAAAGCCCGACCCAAAAACAAAAATATCAAAGCGTAAACATAGAAAAATTGAATCCACGGGCTAGAGGGAAAGAGAGCTCAATCTCCCAGGAGGGATGAACGAGACCTCCCTCGTTGCTCGACACGATTGCTAAGCAATCTCCATCCGTTTCTCCTCTTCGGCGCTTCGAATTGCCTCGGTGTCTTCCCCCGCGCAATCTCCAGCTATCTTCACCATCGAAGAAGCTTTTCTTTGTATCCCCCAATTTGATCAGCATCCGCCAAATCCAGAACCCAAAGAGGAGTAGCTGATTCCACCTCTCTGTCTGTTGCGATCGCTTCTACTCTTTCTCCATCTATTATCTCCGAACAGAAACAAGTAAACAAGGCGTAACTGTCGGGTGCTCCGTCACCTTGCCACCATCGCTTCTCTGTTGTCCGCTCTGCGTATACTTCTACGTACGAAGGGTTAAAGGTAAAGTAATGTGGAATCTGTCTATCATGGACAAACTGGGTACGTTTGGTGGTTGTTCTTGTTCTTGGTGAAAGTGATTTGGGGGCAAGTTGGGGTATGCTGAATGGACGATCTAGGTCGAATCACACAGGGAATTTACTTACGTGTATCTGCCTCTAAGTCCTACTCCAAGCTGCCACACTAGAACTACAACTTGGCAGTATTGGAAGTCATGTCAAAAGATATTGTCTTTCTGAGTATGTTGATGTACTAGGAATGATACCTAATTAAGTATGTCAATTAAGGGTTATCAGAAAGAACTTGACTATTGCAGTTTGAAATAGCACCATGAGTTCACCTGGTGTTATTATACATGTATTCATCTTAGGATCATGAAGGAGTTGTATTAGTTTTGGTGGAGTTATATTCGAAAACCCAACTGATATGAGCTTGGTTTGCTTCCATTCCAAGTTAGAATTGTTCGTTCAAGAAGCTAAGGTAGCTCATTTGCACAATCTGAATTTTTGGCCAAGTATTATGATGAGTTCAGTTAACGACTTTGCGAGCTCGAACCTTCCAATTGGGTTGATAGAAATTCGAGGTTAAGGTGTTGTTGTGAAGATAAACAATTCCTCTACAAGATGACATGGAATTCGGGTTCATACAAGGTCGTTAAGGGTTGTGTTTCAAGGCATCAAAGTAGCTGTCTCAAAATTGGCAAACTGTCAGAATTTGGCCAAGTCTGGAGGCATGGCCAGGAAGGTCACTTTAGAGCTACATTCAGGGAAGATGGGTTCGAATAAGGGAAGGATCTTTGTACCACATGAAAGTGTGTTTGTTTGTCTACAGAAGCAAGGTATTGGCTAAGGAGATGGAGACCTGGAGGCACGTGAACGTGAGGTTCAAAGTTGCTATGGAACCTGTTTTGGAGGCAGCTTAAGTGAGCTACAATTTTTGGGTTTTATGGACGAGTTGGGATTCGTTTTCTGTTTAGGATTGTTACCTTTAGACGTATTAGGGTTAGTTAGCTTTCCTTGTTTGTTTTGTACTCGAATTAAGTTTCAGTTTGCTTATTTGAAGACCTACAAACTCCATTGTAATAGTTAGACGTTGATCAATTAAGAACTTTGTTCATTGAGTTTTCAACTCGTGGATTGTCCTTGTTGCTTGGTTCAAATCGCCAGCGACGAGCGAGCCTTGTATCGATTGAGTCATCACCTCAATCGTGGTCAGGTGCTACCTTGAATTCGGTTGAGCCTCTTCCTCGTGCGTGGTGTTGAAGTTGCACTCCGAACCATCCTTCCATTCCCTTGTTACTTTGTTTTCTGGCTAAGAAAGTCGACTTCTAAGCTGTGATCAACAAGCCTCGCGGGTTGGTGTTTATCAAGTGGTATCAGGCGCTGGGTCGCCACGAACGGCGACGAACCGGGGCCCACCGTCGGTTCAGGAAGTCGATTGGAGGTGTGGCCAACCTCGTGAGAGCACTGAATTGGATTGTCAAGACCTGAATCAAAAAGCCCCAATCCAGATGCTAAGAACACATTTTTCGAATTGCAGAAAATGGGGTTTGGCAAGCCATCTTTCGACCCGATTTGGACTCAGTTTTGTGAAGCTTTTGAGAAGAAGAAAGAGCCAGCCTTGAGGGCCAAGCTTTTTGAAAAGGGAGAGCCTGATATGAGCTTGGATTGCTTCCATTCCAAGTTAGAATTGTTCGTTCAAGAAGCTAAGCTAGCTCATTTGCACAATCTGAATTTTTGGCCAAGTATTATGATGAGTTCAGGTAGCGACTTTGCGAGCTCGAACCTTCCAATTGGGTTGATAGAAATTCGAGGTTAAGGTGTTGTTGTGAAGATAAACACTTCCTCTACTAGATGGTATGGTATTCGGGTTCATACAAGGTCGTTAAGGCTGTGTTTCAAGGCCTCAAAGTAGCTGTCTCAAAACTGGCAAACTGCCAGAATTTGGCTAAGTCTGGAGGCATGGTCAGGAAGGTCACTTTGGAGCTACATTCAGGGAAGATGGCTTCGAATCCGGGAAGGATCTTTGTACCACATGAAAGTGTGTTTGTTTGTCTACAGAAGCAAGGTTTTGGCTAAGGAGATGGAGACTTGGAGGCATGTGAACGTGAGGGTCAAAGTTGCTATGGAACCTGTTTTGGAGGCAGCTTACGTGAGCTACAAGTTTTGGGTTTTATGGACGAGTTGGGATTCCTTTTCTGTTTAGGATTGTTACCTTTAGACGTAGCAGGGTTAATTAGCTTTC